GCATCCAATATTCCTAATGAAATATTCAATGAAAGCGCACACCATTAAATATGAAAGAGGCAATGAATACACCTGACCTAGGGAATGAGATATTTATTGAAATTGCACAACATTAATTATGAAAAGTACAATGAAAGCATCCAATATTCCTAATGAAATATTCAATGAAAGCGCACACCATTAGATATGATAGAGGCATTGAATACACCTAACATAGTGAATGAAATATTTATTGAAATCACACAGGATTAATTATGAAAAAAGCAATGAAAGCGCCCAAAATTCCTAATGAAATATTCAATGAAAGTGCACACCATTAATTATGAAAAAGGCAATGAATACACCTAACCCAGTGAATGAAATACCTATTGAAAGCGCACAGGTTTAATTATGAAAAGCACTCTGTGGCCTTGCCTATATCTTATGAGAAGAACATAGCCTTTATGAGAAAGAAAGACACAGGACACACCTATGAAAGGCCTTTCATAAAACTTGTGGACTTATACACACAGCTCTACAGGCAAGTGCCTTAGTTTTATGATAAAGGTGGTAGCCACTTGTGGTGTTAGAACGATGAGTGGGGTGCCTCACCTTGGCTCGTCGCAGTCCGCTTCTGTTCGTGGGTGTTGTTCATCCTTCGCGTGGATGGTCGTGGTCGAATTTGGCTGATGCTGCTTCGCCTCGGGTGGTGGCCTCAGTTTGTGGGCGATCCTGCTTTGCCGTTGGCATTGGTTGTAGTTGAGGGCATCATTGGAGGTGGTGTGGCATGGCATTGCCACGTCATTGTTGTGGGGGATTGATTGGGGGCGGTCGTATGATGGTTGTTGTTGGCTACATCGCCGTCAGCGACGTGGCATACCTAGACAAGTGTGAGTATGATTGTGCATAGCGTTGTAGAGAGAAAGCACCTTGAATGTTGTCACGAAGAATCTGGCGATGACCTGGTTCTCTTGTCAAAAAAGGAGAGGGGAGGGAAGTCAGATGGCTCACCTGGTTGCCCATCGTTTGTTATAACATTGGTCCGTTCTTGGTTGCCACATCACCGACAGCAACGTCGCCCCCTGAGTCTTGTATTGAAAGAGGAGAAAGGGACGGGGTTTGAGTAGCTGACCTCGATAACACGGACAGTGACAACGACGTGCGTCATCACGGTCTGGTGGACGTGGCACGTCCGTTGATGTGCCAGGTCGTTGTTGTCATTGGGTAGGTCGTTGTTGTTGTCATTGGTGTGCAGTGGTGGTTGAGAGCAGGTTACCGAACGAAGTGGTTGATGGTGGCGGCGACGCAGCGGAGGGGGACTGGAAGCCCTTGAGGAGAAGGAAGGAGATTGGCGGGAAGAGTCGGAGAGTGGAGGAAAAGTTCACATTGCACGAGTACAAAAATTTCCAAGTTTGGACGTTCAACATGTCGCGTGATCGATACTTACACATGCGACAACAAATCTGTGGCGTGAACGATTATTGTGACACGCGTGGCTCAATTCATCCAGAGATCAAAATCATGGCGGTGTGGACCGCGTGGTGCCAGATCCATCACTCCGGCCACACTCCGCCACGCGATCACGACCTGCCACAGATTTGTGATTTTCCTGATGGGGTAAGTCAGCCTGCCGTCTTGTCCTTTTGGTACTTGTCATCTTATCATTAGCCAGGCTGGTTCTCTAAGACGATTGGGTATAGTCATCATATTCAAGGTTGATGACTACAGGTTTTTTTATGCAAATTGATCGCCTTGCAACGACGTGTGCATGCCTTTTTGCGTTATCTTCTCCTATCCCGCTGGTTTCTTCGCTGTCCTCAATTGCCATAAATTTCTGACCCTGAACCCTCTGAAGAAATGGTAAATGGACTTCCCGAACAACAACTCGATGATATCCAGCTCGCAAGCGCAAAGCTCTCGAAGATACGACGAACTCTGCAAAGCGGCAACGACGAGCTCCTAGAGCCGCTCGGCTCAGTTTCCCAAGTCCTTCAAGACTATGGTCCGCGGTGCCAGACCTGCCAAAATGCACCTGTAGAAGGATCGTCTGGGGGTAGTAATGGAAAAGTGCGTCGCTTTGGGAAGGTTGGATGAGACGAGGTTGGCTTGAAGATCCACCAAGGGAGTGAAGATTGTTGAATGGGGAGCCGAGAAATGGAGGTGTAGTAGGCGACGACCCATGTTGGTCATTACGAGATGTTGGAAGAAGAGAATTCGATGCAGATGGCAGGAAGCGTCTGATAAACTCCAGAGTTTCTGGTATTTCAGCGATTGGTTTCAATTTCTTGGTAGATCTGAAAATTCTTATGTTGCTACCCATTGAGGTTGAGGTTATAATGATTTATGATGGCATTTGTGACGGCAGACGGTGTCAAAAAAGTTGAAACACGTCGAGAGGTATGAGGGCGTTCCTCAATATTGACGCGACGCGGTTTTAAAGTCCGCACTTTACATAAGCATTTTCTGACGCGGTTCGGATGGCGCAGTAAAAACAGGACTACTTTCATGCGTACTTTTCAAGTGTCGCATCCTCCGGCCATGTGCGCATCGGCCTCTGAGTCCATCATGGGTTTGGGTGGGAGGATATCCCGTATCCCGCATTTTATTCATCGGCTTTCTGTACTCACCAGAATTGGCTCAGCTGCCAGTCTTCACCAAATGCGAGGCGGAATTCCGCTACGCTGATAGGTGATGGTTTGGTCGGTTCTTCATTTTCTTCGCCATGGCAATGCTCGTCATCCAGAGCTAGACCTGCTATGCGCACTGCGGCTTGTTCTGCTGCTAGCTCATTAAAGCGCTATTCTTGGTCTGCTTTGTCGGAGAGGAAAGCGTCACCGAGAAGGGCGAGGGTGTTTGCATTGAGTGCTGGTGGCGAGCCGGAGTGGTCGGAGAAGAAGGAGGGGGACGTCGTTGTGGGCGAATGGGGTATCGCAAGGGCTGCTGTGGACATCGTCGTTGGAGGAGGTTGGGAGGAGGACCGTGGCCCAAAAAATTGTTCACGGAACAGGGACGAAATAGACTCCGACTTCCAATCATCCTGCTCACTTCAGCTTCAACGTTGTCAACCAATAATCAACAGTGAGGAAGAAGAATTGTGGTTCTCGTCTCTTCTGGGTGAGGTCCTCATTCTCAAAGTATTCATTCAACTAGCAGCTGGAATCTCACATTTCAATTTCAAGAAACAAGCACCCATTGGTGTACTTCCTTGCATTCACATATTCGTGCTTTGGAATCGCAAAGATCAAAAAGGATGGTTCAAGCTACACCCGTAGGATCCACTACGTGTTACAGTTTTGTGCTTGCGAAGAAGCTCAGACCAGACCATGGCAATACCGAGAAGAATGTCTAGAGTTGGTTTACAACTTGTTGGACTTATCTTCGCAAATTGGACCTCTATTGGCAATGAACACAACTGTTTAGGAGCGCGACTTACCGCAGGTCATGCAGATCATCAAGCAGCTCATCAAGTTGCTGCTGCATCTGTATGCCATTTGCCAATAGTGCAAATGCTGCATTCGCTTCGTGGAATACCGTTCGAGCAGGGACCGTTTGCGTGGGAGGTGGAGCTGATGGGCTGACATGGTGTAGTTTGAGAGGATTAGTGGGAATGCGTGTCGTTTCAAGGGCAGTAGGCATTTCGACGTCGAGGTGGCGTACTTGGGCCTCACGAGCAAATACAACAGGGACTTTCTGAGTGTCGAGCTGGTTATCTTGGTACCACCTAGACATTTATGTGTGAACAATGTATCATCAATAAAATTGTAGTGTTGGCTGTGCCTACCATGCGCGGATGACTTCAATGTTGAACTTGAGGTTCTTGATTGCACTTAAGGCACGGAAATAGTGGCGGCAGGGGATCCCAAGGTTCATGCCCATGCAGCAGTCACAGACATAGTTGTCATTTGGCAAAAGTGCCACCATATGGAAGGCATCTGTGCCATCATGTGTGACACAAAGAAGGTGGGTCACCTGAAGGCCTCTGCCTTTAATCAAGTGAAGAAGCCATTTGGTCGAAATGTGAGCATTGTCATTTTCGAAGGAGTTCAGCATGCGCTATGATGTTCGCAGTTAGTGATAACTTGATTACTGACATGAATAATGAGTTACCGATTCTTCGCCACCTTCCCAATTATAGCCGACCGTTGGGCTGACAGCAATAGCATACTCATTCTGTTTATTGGTCTCATTAACTCAAAACTTTCTCAACCATGAGGCGAGAACCCAAAGCAATGTACCCAGTCATGCACACCATCCAGTAATTGAAGTACTCTGACTAGTGTTTAAAGGTTCAGTCCATAGGACCACAAAAAACCGGTGGACCGAACTGAACTGGACCATGGTCCGGTCTTTTTTTTTGGTTGCAGTTGCCCCAATTTGGGGTTGGTCTGGTTGCCAGTTGCCTCATTTCGAAAATATATTAAAACCGTTCAAAGACCGGTTTTGATCGGTTGCAACCGGTTAAACGGTCACGTGCGCTACATACCCTTGTAACCACGTTTATTACCTTTTATTGGGTTTTTGTTTCATCAAAAACGGTTAAGAATTGAAAAAGATATAACCAAATCCATATTTTACCCAAGTCTCGACGAGATGTAATTCGGTTTCAGTCATAGCTATGTCAAATCTTCATTAAATCTCTTCAAAATTGGTAGAATGACGGGTATTTACATGCTTTACTATTTCATATAACCTGTTTATTTTTCAGAGTAATAATAGTCAAGATAAAAATGGTTTATATTGGTATAATAAATTATACGCAAAAAAACCGGTCTGGATCGGTCTGAACCGGCTCCATAGACCGAAATAGACCGGTCCTAGGTGGTTCGGTTCGGTTCCCTCAATATCTGGGTCGGTCCTAGACCGGTTGCGGTCCACGGTTGCGCGTTTTGGGGGCAAAAAACCGGACTGAACTGAACTTGCGAACACTAACTCTGACAGAATAGAACACACTGAGTTCCATTTGTTTGAAGCATGTTCGCAATGCAAAAGGCCCAGCAAACTGGCGGATTATGCTTAATGGCCCAGGGAAAATTGATTCGATATTTGACAGATGTTGATGACAAGATGACTAAAGGAAAGAACGAAATCAAGAGGAGTTCAATTCAGAAAAGAATAAACTTACTTCTCGTGCTCGTATTAGCTCTTGTGTAGTCTGACCATTTGTCCTCTCATTAAGCCCATGGAAGACCTGTATCAATGCCTTCCTTGGTCCACCAATCACCTTGTTCATCCTATTCTCAACTTCTACCCGACCATTCATCCAAACACCACAGGTAAACTGATAGCTTGTAAATGTCCAAGCCCATTGCTCATGGCAAGGGTAGATCTCGGCATCAAGGTAGGCTTTTGCTTGTGGAAACTGAGTTGTTAGCTGATTCCATTTGATGTCGAATTTTTCAGGTGAAACGGCGTGATAGACATCCCAGAAAGATGTCTTGAACTTGGACCAGTCCATAGGAGGAAGTAATCGACTAAGGTTCTGGTCGACATTGCCATCCAAGTGGTGCATACAAAAGAAATGGATTGCTGTTGGTATCTGCCGCTTTGCTGCTCCAATGAGAGGCTTTGCACAATCAGACATAAACCCATCAGGAGAGTATCTGGCGCTGGCAAGATGGCATTGCATAACCCAAGAATGGTGTTCTTCATCCTCAATCGTGTGGAAGGCATACCATATATTTCGTGAACAATAATGGTTGTCGATCACAATACCGATGTTGAGAGGATAACCAGAACGATTCCAGTTGTATGTGTTGTCATTGATTATGAAATCGCCATAACAGCGCGCAAGCTCCACTTGCTGCAGTGACTGCCACCATATTCCAGTGACAACTGCATGCTCATCCAACCGAAGCTCATACTGCCATCCATGCTCCATCAGTGATTTTCCCTGAAGGCTAGCCACAATCGCATTTAGTGATGTGCCAGGCCCAGCCCAAAGCCGTAAGCCAGCCAGGGCCAGCCTTCCCAAAGCCGGGCCTTCTTGGGCCGTCGTCAAAGCCTAGGAAAGCCCAAGGCTCAGGCTCATAATACATGAAGCCTTGAGCCGTGGCCCGAGCCATGGCCTCAAAGGTTGGCAGGACCTTGCTTTGGAGAGGTAAAATTGATGTGATTAAGTTGTTGAGAATTGTTGAGAAGAGTGGCCCCTAGCATTTCAGGGTGTTTGGTGGCAAGATTGTCAAGATACATCATCGGTCATCATGCTGAAACATCTCCGGGTCACATGCGAGGTGAACTGTAGGGTGCATAATCAGGAGCGCAAAAGAAAGTTGGTGATAGAGGGGACGTACCGACTTATTGCTGAGGCCTGAGGTTTAAGATTCAGAATGACTCAGATTCTACTGTGATCTTTATGCTAAAAAGTTGTAAGTGTGATATAGTTGTGCTAATTATTTAGTCTTACAGCATTGGCGTTGATAACATTGATTTTCTTGACTCGCACTCCAACGAACTAGTCACGTCCATGTTCAAAAGGTCAGTAAGTTTCCAAGACACATAAAAAGCGACATCGTTTCAAGAGTAGCTGATTGTTTGTTCATGTTTTTCAACTTTAGCCCATGAGCCGTGGCCTGAGCCTGAGCCAGGCCTGAGCCAGCCTAAAGCCTTGCAAAAAGCTCAGGCTTGAAATTGGATGAGCCTGAGCCGTGCAAAGCTGGGCCATAGCCGTGGCTTTCAGGCCAAGCCTGGCCTGCACATCACTAATCGCATTCATGTCACCACCAAGTCTTTCCACCTCATCCTTTGCTTCCCATTGTGCCTGGCTCATCACATTTGAAATCTGACAAGGTTTGAGTTTGTGTTCTCCAGTTTGTGTGTTCAGGACCTCAGCAATTTGGCCCCGAGAAAATTGCTGGGTTGTGGCACTTGCAAGCTGAGAAATCACAACCTTTTGCTCTTTGGTAACAGGCCGTCGAATGGAACCATCTTCTGGGATTTCGCGTGGATGGTTATGCTCCCATTCGGTCAAGGTAACCTTCCATATACCTGCATCTTGAATTCTATTGACATTAACACAAGCCTCACAGCTTGTCCTGATTGATTTGCCCTTTCGATGATCTGCCAGATCGATTTTAACAGAATGAATGGGAAGATGCTGGCGGTAGTGGTTGCATTGCAAGGTAACCTTCTTTCGGTTTCCGCAAGTATCCATTTTGCTTTGACCAATCCTCCAGCAGTGCCCCAAACACTCCTCATGTGCGTATACCGCATCCCGGGCCTCCTCCCAAGAATGAAACAGTGCCCCCAAGCGCACTATGCCTGGAGTAACTTTGACCAGAGAATGCGTGGCAGGAGCAGATTTACTGTCCATGAGCACAGGATTGGATTCAGGTGTGCGGATGTCGATGACATGAGGTGGGTCTGGTTTTTCTGCCTTGATTTCTCGCTTGATTGGCATTACTGAGACTTGATTTGGTGTGGAAAGATCAATAACAGATTGACTACCATCCAGGCTTTCACCTCTGTCTGGGCTTTCAATTTTGAATCGACGCCTGATAGGAGTACTAACGACCAGAGTTTCAGAGTCGGAACCAGAGCTTGGTTCATCAGATGACACAAAAACATTCCGCTGTATGTGCAGGGCAGGAAGGTTGGCCGATCTCCCCTTTGGCTTCCTTTTAGGGCTAGGCGAGCACAAGTCGATAAAATTCTGAGTGAGGTCTGATATTTCCATGGGTGTAAATACCTCAGTTTTTATTGACTTGGCTCACACCATGTTTGGTGGACTGTTAAGGCTATTTCGGCATCATTTCTGGCCAGGATGTGGGGGCGAGAACATGATGGGATTGCCTGATGTGACTTTTTTGGCTAGGGGAGCAGACACAGAGTAGGCAGGGGTGCTCAAAGTAAATGGTGGCAAAAGAGATTGTGGTATTGACAGTAATTTATCGAGAGTTGGCACTTTCAGCAGGTTCACAGGTTGATGAATTGGTTGAATTGTTATGATGGAAGTCTTCAATTGAGAGGCGGGATGATCGTTCTGTCCAGGTTTTTGGTAAGAAGCTTGATCATCGAAGGATTGGGAGAAGTAACTGACATTGGGGCTAAAGTTGTTGAAATCATTGAATCCGGAGCCTGTCGAAATATTGACCTGTCCTTTTTCAAGCCCACCAGGAGTCAAAACTGGTGAAGTCCAATCCGAAAAATCTCCAGCGCTTTGACTTGAAGCATAGTGAAAGCTAATTAAATCATGAAGAACTGCATTTCTGAATAATGCAGATTCGGGTCTGTTCCAACACTGGACCCTGTTTGAGTGTGCGTCAACTGTGATTTCAATGAAGTTGTGTGCAATGACCCCACAACTGCCTTCACCATTGTCAGGCCCTTGCTTCGGAATGAAACCAAAGGTGATTTCGGAGATTGATGTCTCAAATAATCCATGAAATACCCATTGGAGGACTGGGATGATATCTCCTGGTGGCTGGTGGTGCATAGAGTCTCTGTATTTGATACTGACAGACCCTGGGCGATAAATGAAGGCAGTAAAATGATTGTCTGCAACCAAACTCATGGTGATGATGCAAACAATGGTAGTCTGGATGCACTCCCGCAATGCAAGAATTTCTTTGGTATAAATCGGCATTGTGGAACTTTGAAACACGTCATGGGCATTAATCAGAAAGGTTGTCGGAAGAATGAGGGATTCTGGAGGATGATGGAAAAGCGATCCTGTTGCCGCTCCAGCTGAAGTTAAACCTCTTTGGCGAAAAGCTTGACGGAAATATGTGAGTTCAGTGAGGGCATTAAAAATGTCCTCCTCAAGCCACTTCTTGCCCAAAAGACACCCGAGCTTATAAAGTGGGCAATCACGGGTGACAAAAAATCCTTGTAAGCAGGCACAAAAAAATTGATTCCGGAATGCTTCAAGAGCAGGACCAAGCACTTCAAATTGAGGCAGTTTCAGATGGGTAAGGAGATGCTGGTACTCCTGAACAGCTGGCAGGTAATTGCTGATATTCCATATTAAATTAATCTTGAAAGCCGTCAGTCAGTATCTCCACTCAAAGCCAAATTAAAGCATCTTGCCTTGGAAAATGTGTAATGTCCAAAATGGTCCTTCCCCAAGTGCTTGAAGTGGACGACAGCTGACCACATTCCAGCCTCAAAGCTTTTTTCCCTTTCTTTGGTAATTGGTTGTAAGTCAGAAAAGTGTGGCAAGACCTCATTAGGTGTGACAATTGTGGCCAAAGCAGAGGTGGGAGAATCCTCAAAAAGTGCATTAAAAAAGACAGAGCCAGGCTCTGCCATTGAAGGGTATGAAAGATCAGTTATTTGATGAATTTTGAGAGATTCAAAGAACTCATTAGAGAAGGCTAGATGTGGCTGAGGTGATGCATAAGTGGAAAAAGACATTGTTCTTGAGCAAAAAAGTTGGACCACACACCGCTTATATAGACACTTACTGTATTTTAGCACCTGAAACTCTGCTATCAGTTGGTGAAAGGTCAGCTGCATTGTTGTGCGATGGATTGCCTCCTATTTGAAATTAGCATAGACAAAAATGTGAGCAGTGTCATTTGAGGAATAGTGCACCATTCCTATTGAACTAGGTGGATTTGCAAAGAGGATTTCAATGTACTACTGTAAATTCTTTTTGTTTAAAAACTACAGTGTTCAGAATGTCTTATACTCTAACAAACGTGCATGTTTCCAGACCACATGACATGAGGCTTCGGCTTGTAGTCGGCCCAGTAGTAACCTCCGGCATAATCCCCTGCCAAAAAGTCATGAAATGTCGAGGGTTGCTACAATGATCACTAGAAACCCCGGGTTGCGAGGGGTTGCTACAAGGAGGGGGGGTTGCCAAATAGTTTAATCCAGCAAGTACAGAACTGCACAAGAACGCAAATCAAACTCGAGCTCACCAAGAAGTTCACCTGACACGGAAAACTAAGGTTGATTCAATGAGATCCCAGTGTCTGTATTTGAACACAGAGAAGGGGAAGCACATACATCTTTATAATTCTTATATTTCATAGGTATTTTGCCTCATATACTTCATAGCTATTTGTTTCATGCCATCCAAGAATGTCTATTACTATACATCTTACAATGGTTGACTGCTCTCTCAACATGCTTCCTTCAACAATTATAAAATGATATTTTTAAGACCAAAGATCATTACAAAACAGGAAAGCAACAAGAAAAACACAACACACATACAACTAGAGGGGGCAGCGCAGGACAGAAAGGAGAAGGCTACACCACAACGCAGCAGGAGCGCCAAGCATGCTTAGTACAGCATGACACATGTGACTGAACCCTGACCTTCCCCATTTGGGCTGAATCCAGGGAATCCCCTTAAATCATCCAACATTAAGTACAATTATTTCACTTGATTTAAGGGACTGAATGTTAAATTGGATAAATTGCACCCATCAGCGGATTCCGTTTTCCATGAGAAATCATCTTCCTCCAGCCCTTCTACCCTGACTTCCATCCCTTTCCTCTCGCCTCCATCTCTCTCGCCCCCTCTTTTCTGTCACCAACCCTTCCAGGCAACACTACGCAACACGCTGGACACTATGCAACACGCTGGACACTATGCAACATGCTGGACACTACGCAACATGCTGGACACTATGCAACATGCTCAACATTACGCAATGCACTCAGCAGTATGCAACACACTTGACACTACAGCATGACTACACCATGCACTTGACACTACAACACACAGAGCTCTGCTCCCATCACATTCTCGCCTTCAAGAGGCCATTGTGCTTGTGCACTCGGGCATTATTCGTGAAGTTCAAAACAAAGATGCGTTGATGGAAAAGATGCACCAGAATGCATCACGCAGTGGGGATTAGCTGGGACATAAGAGAAGGCCCGTGAAGTGGGGGATCTATAAGGTATGTCTTAAAATTCAATGATACAATGTATACACTGATATTATTAGTGTTTAAAGGTTCAGTCCATAGGACCGCAAAAAGCCGGTGGACCGAACTGAACTGGACCATGGACCGGTCTTTTTTTCGGTTGCAGTTGCCCCAATTTGGGGTTGGTCCGGTTGCCGGTTGCCTCATTTCGAAAATCTTTTAAAACCGTTCAAAGACCGGTTTTAATCGGTTGCAACCGGTTAAACGGTCACGTGCGTTACATAGCCTTGTAACCACGTTTATTGCCTTTTATTGGGTTTTTGTTTCATCAAAAACGGTTAAGAATTGAGAAAGATATAACCAAATCCATATTTTACCCGAGTCTCTAGGAGATGTAATTCGGTTTCAGTCATAGCTATGTCAAATCTTCATTAAATCTCTTGAAAATTGGTAGAATGACGGGTATTTATATGCTTTACTATTTTATATAACCCGTTTATTTTTCAGAGTAATAATGGTTGAGATACAAATGGTTTATATTGGTATAATAAATTATACGCAAAAAAACCGGTCTGGATCGGTCTGAACCGGTATCATGGACCGCAAAAGACCGGTCCTAGGTGGTTCGGTTCGGTTCCCTCAATATCTGGGTCGGTCCTGGACCGGTTGCGGTCCACAGTTGCGCGTTTTCAGGGCAAAAAACCGGACTGAACTGAACCTTTAAACACTAGATATTATATATATACTTTCAATGATTTAGGTTTTCTGCATGCACAACAGTGCTTTACCACCACCAGGGCTACCCACACCCACGCTCACTTTCCACACCCATCGTTTCCCTCACGCTTTCACGTGTCCCTTTCATCAACAGTCACCAACAGCACCTTAAACTACCTCACCATCCCAGCACACACCATCCCCGCCTAGCGCTCAAACCTCTCCGTGTGGTCTGCACCACCCATGCCTCACACTCAAGCCTCTCCGCACAGTCCTCCTCCTCTTGCCTGACTCCTGCACGCTCCCACATATGTTGTGGTGTGCTCTCTAAGATCCCATCAAATCTAGGAACCGGAAGGCCAGACTTAGTTTTAAAAGTCCTTTTTTGCTACTCTAGTGCACTACATCTCATGTAAATGTTCTTACCTGCAATATTATCCACATTACATGAGTTTGAATGATATAACAGAAAGATTTAATTTTATGAGCCAGTGTGATATACCAGAGGGTCACATCCCTGAACTGAAAAACCCTTAAATCGGGTGCAGGGATAGTCCAGCTCATGGAAATACATATTAAATTGAGCTGGTTGGCATCATGGGGCCTTAAATCCACTAAATTGAACTTGATTTAAGCTAAATCCATCATGCATAAGCACTTATGTCGACTTATGTGTCCTTATCTCACTTATTTTCAGGTCCTTACAGCAAACCACCTTCCATATATCTACTTGAAGAGAGAGAAAAAAGCGGTCAACATGTAGCAGCAGGTGCATTCAAGGTATTCTACAAGTTTTGTATTTTTCCCAAGAATTTAACGGCACCCAGGCTCCAATCAAGGACACACCATGAGGTCCATTTTGGACAAGACCTCATATTTGCCTGGGGAAAGCCAGTACTGGGGGGGAAAATGCATTTTCGGGTATAATAAATACAAAATGGTTGACCACAAGCGGAATTTCGGGAGGGGACGAAGCGGTGGGACGGGGAGGAGGAGAAATGGGAGAAGGACCCGACACGCCAGGTCACGTGGTCACGTGCACCTTCCGAAAGCGGTAGGGATCTGGGAGATCCCGTTAAATCGGCCCACACATCTCATAATAATGACTATTATACAATTCCTGCAAAGCGAGAGGTGGTTCCAATGTCCACTGTGACAAGATCACATGGTTCACTGGTGCTGGTGTGAGCAATCTGCATGCCTGGAATCTCCTCTGGGATCAAGGTGTCACCAAAGGCAACTATGTCATATGGCAAGTAGGTGCCAGGGGAAAGGTGAGGTGTCGCAAGAGCATAGTGGTCAAATGTTTCTTTGAAACCACTATCTAGGTGGCTAAAGACAAGTTGGCCTTTTGGCGAGAAGCCAGTAGTGGGGATGAACATGATCCAGTTGTCAGTTGGAATTGCTGCTCGCATGAAAGTCGCATCGGTGTGAATGGAAGGGAGGGACCACTCTATATCAAAGAACTCGCGACGCATGGCAGCCTGACTAACATCTTGGTGGTAGGGCACAATTGTGGTGCCATAGGGGCCAACAGGGAAACTGCCCTGCTGGTGTTGGTATGTGCGCTCTGCTCCCCCACTGACACGTAAGCCTTGGTGAATGACCTGCAGTTCAACCCTGTCTGGAGACGAGTATGTAAAAAGCGGCTGGGCATTGATTAGGATGGTGTCTCGGATCTCATGGATGGCATCCTCAGGCTGGCCTGGTTCATATTGCTTTTCTCCAAAAGGCTCATAACGTGGCATTAGTTCCTTCTGCTTGATGGCCCACTGAGCCATGGCAAGTGTGGGGGCATCAGCAGGATCATTGAGGAAGGGCAGTATCAAAGTAACCCAGTTGACTTGATTGTCACGGATGCTTTTGATATGACGTTTGTAGCTATTCTGTGAGAATTTGAGCATGGCTTCCAACTCCGCAGGGTTGGTGATGCCGGTACAGTCAATAGGGGTGAAGGGCTGAGCAAGGGGGAATTCAATATGAGACATGTTTCTTGTGTACTGCTCAAAACTTAGTAATGTATAAAAGGCACATGGGCACAGTTGAACTTACTGAATTGGGTTTTGGAATGAGCCGTCTTTGTAAGAAAATGTGGGTCCTAGGTCCGTTTGTTGCATCAGTGGGATGAACAGGGTAGTTGATGAGGTCTCACAGAAATAGCTGATCTGTTGGCGATGGGGAGGACAAGTGAGGATGGGCCGTCTTTGGGCCAATTTAAAGGGCAACCTCAAACAAGTGATCGGGCAGTTACGTCACAAAAACCGAAAATAAATGTAAGATGAAACAATATTAAAACGCAGAAACTCCCCCGGACTTGTGCGAACGCAAAAGAAGCCCATAATTAATAGCGTAAGTACAATAGTAAAGATAAAAGGAGCAGAACGGAGAACGAAAAAAATGAAATAAAGACCACATCCAACGGCACTGTCAGTCTGTCACATTCGAGTCTACTTACTTCGGCAACTGACCTCTTCTCTCATTCTGCACGTAAGTCGCATTTAACTCCAATACGCTCCCATAGTCCAAAAACGCTTTCGGGCTATCGGTAGGGAAAGTATCCGCAACGAGGAAAACAACCCACGGAGGCGTCGGGGACGATCCGGCATACTTGAATAGGAGAACGGTGAAATTCGTGATGTCGGAGAAGGAGAGCGGGCCTGTGGGGTTCTGTGATGGCGTGGAGAGGGGCGGAGAGGGGTCTAAGAGGTCTGCGTTAATTCCATTAAGGGATAGTTCGAAGAGCTGCGAGGGCGAGATTGGAACCGCCTGCCAGTGACGGACTAAATTTAGCTTGAAGAACAGGATGTTTTTGAGTAGACTTACCAGACGTGATGCTGACGGAATGCATTTCCATGGGATCAAAGTGCGCTTCGATAAGGTGTTCCGCGGGTGTATGGAAATAATATAAATTCAGGATATACGTCTTGCCTTCAAAGATCGTAGTCCCACTAATCTCAACCTCAACCGTCCTTCCAGAGCTCGGATTTTTTCTTACAAGAGGCAAGTAGTGGTGGTGATGGGTTGAATTTTAATCTCCTCGAAACGAAGAGAGACTTTCAGTTAGGCGTCTCTTAGACGCCTAAGCAGGGTCTTTCGCGAGGATAGATGTGGCAGAAAAGAAGGCGTACAAGAGCGGGGGTGAGACCTGTCCTGATGGACTGCCCCGACGAGCTAGTACCATTCGAGAACGCCACGAAGGTGGGGGTACTTGGCCTGTACCAAGGAAGGAGTACAGCTGACCTTGAAGAGGCCATTCAACCCTGCGGTCCCGTCATCCAAATCATATACATACCCTCTAGTAACCCGACTATCGAACCCAGGTTCTCAAATCCCGCCAACTTCACATTGGAGATACTGAATAGCGGGTGTGAGAGTGGGACGACGTCGTGCTCGGTAATTATCAGGGACTGGACATTGGCCATTCATTTTACGTTTGCAGGGTTGAGGCCTGCTCAGCCGAGAGAAGCGGTGAGTCCGATGCAGCTGAAGTTGCTGATGAATACAGAGCTCGGGCCAAGCACTTCCTGGAGATAATCACGGCGGCGGTTGTACAGGCAGACGCGTTGGCAAAGGAGGTGGAGAGAAGGGAAGTCGACGCGACAGCGCCAAGGAACGTTGAGAAAAAAAAGGGTGACTGACATGGTTGCACAAGGGAGCTCAGACGAAGACCCATGATCAAACGGCGCCAGGCTTGCAGTTGCATTCAACGAGACACAATATGCCGTAGGCATGGGGAAGGAAAAGATGCGGTGGCTTGTAGATAGGTGAAGTAGGCGGTGTTTCCGTCCGGTTTAAAGGTGGTGGATGTGATGATGCTGCGCCGTGGTTGTAAGCATTGAACACAATAGGCCCCACGATAGTTTCTTCCGAGGTGAGAACAGATTTATAGAGGATGGAAAACATCACACATTGAAGAATTGTAACCCGTATTTCAACAGTTCAGCTGCACGTTTTTAGTGTTTTGCAGCCGTTACCCTGCACATTCGTGACGAAAGGTTTCGTGGTGGTACTCTATTGGTACTCTATGTCACGGCGGGCAAGGAGCTGGCCATGCATTGTAAGCGGTCCTCAGAGTCCAAAGCGGGGCGTATACGTTGTTGAAAGATATGAGTGGTACGATGTTGTCGAAGATTTGGGACTTTAGACCGAATGGAAGTTGTAGGGCGCGAGCTGTTTTTCTTTGGTCCAAACATAGGGCTGCGTAGTATTCTCAACGTAGCACACTCAAATGTAGTCCGTTTAGCTTGAAAATAGATCCATGCGATGCCAATTTTTATTCTGCATCTGGCTGTAATATCCCTTGCACTGTTCCGTGTGTCTGAACGTTTTTCATGATCTGTTAGTGCTTGTTTACTTTGTCATGATCATATGAAGACAAGCTCGCAACAATAGTATTTAACAAAGTCCTTTCCCTCCGCTGTTCGATCCTTGCGTGGAGTGCCGCCACAAGGCGAACAAGCTCTCTTAGCCGCCATTTCTAAGCGCCAAGGCGACGGATAATACACAATGCGTCATCATGATTCACCTCCAGGCAAGCCGGTTTAGCTCAAGAAAACTTGTTCAGGAAGGATGGAACTTTGAGGTCAAAAGCCAGTCCTCGGTATGTATCGCGTCCCACTCAGAAGTTTCAAATTTGGGGGTAACCTGTGACTTAAGGTGCTGCAGCCTTTTCAACGCTCACGTCGATGTACGCTATGCTGGACTTGATCCACGAGTAACTACCTCTTAACATGTCTCGTCGCCGACGGCGATCTGGCTCTGTGGATCTTCTGGAGCCGTCCGCTGCCTTGTCATACTTCCGAGAACTCTGCTCTTCATTCACGGACGGTCCCCCAGACGTGATTGACAACTTCCCCCAGGACGTGACGCGTCTCGTTCGGTCTCAAGGGGGACCTGCCGTCACATTTCCGGCAACCCTTCAGGTAGCACTGGAGCCATGACCCGCTCTTCTTCCTACCGTCCCCGCGCACTTTCTCTTTCAGCTGCACCACCCAGCCTCACATCCATCGACAAACCAGCGCAAGGTCCTTTTACAGCATGACGCCCTGTAATTTTACGGCCTACATCTTCAACGAAATCACGAAATCACCCACGACCTATAGCAAAAAGGCGCTAGCCTTTCCGCTCCGCGTTTGGCTTGACCGTGACAAAGAACGGCGGAAATGATGGAAGGGAAGGTGACGAGATGGGGGGGGGGGGGGGGGGGGGGGGGGGGGGGGGGGAAAAAAACC